AAAAACAATAAATGTTTATTTCAGGTTGGTTTTTTGAAGAAAATCGATTTCGTGCAAAATTAGCAAGAACAGCACTATCTACAGTCGTTAGTAATATAAATAGAAAACGTGTTTCTCATTTTACAGGAAGTGGACTAAAATATAAAACTTTATGTATGGATGGTTTAACATATGAAATGTGTATTAAAACTGATGGAGATGGTTTAGTTAAAAAACAATTTCAATTATCAAATAATAATGTTCAAAATTTTCGAGTTTCCGGTGGAACATATGGCAAAGTTGAATATTTTCTATCAACAACTGATAAAACTATTCAAACGAAAGGAGAAATTTTTTTATGTGATGATAATGGAATATCAATTATCAGCGATATTGTAAGTTTTATATGAATACATATTTTCAAATCTAAAAATTATAGTTAGATATGATGGAATTGATTTTATAAAACATAATTTAAAAAGAGTATTGAAGTATAGTTTGAATTCACAGATTGTATATTAATTACGTATCGTTATAATATACTAACTAATTAAAATTATTACACTTGAAAGTATTTTAGTAGTTCTGAGAGAAAACTCTCTTATTTATCTAGAAGTTGAAAGTTAACCTTGCACTTAAAATACTATAAGAATAGACTACCACATGCGACATTGTCTATGTTTTAACATGGCCATTTATATTTTAAGTAGTTCTCAAAGTTCTAAATTTCGAACGATGGTTGCGAAACTTATCTAGAGTGGAAAAATTTACTAGTAAAATCAATCAGTTTTTCTCATTTGAAGTTCTACGAGGGAAAAACGGAACATATCATGAGAGTCAATTCGTTAAGTTCTACAAACTTTTCAATACCACCAACAATACGCACTGTTTTTTTCTTATATCTACTCGAATTCCTATCATTATTATGAACTTTAGGTCATTTAATCCTTTCAGGCCCACCGTACTAAATATAGTACGGTTTTTTTTCAAGCTTCTTAATCTTTGAATAACTCGCAAACACGAGATGATATCGAAGTGCGATTTTCTCTGTAACATAAAAGAGATTTCGGTATGTACATCGATACAAGAGTTATCACTCTAATGAGGTCACTCTGGTAGTAAGCCTGATGGATCTTTGGAACACCACTTCTATTCTAAAAAGAAGAAGGACGGATAATGCCCTTCTGCGGTCCATGAAAAACTTCGATTTTTCGTATTGAAATCAAGTTAGAAGTGGCTTCTAATGATATTGCAAAGGTTGATTTGACGACAGCTGTCAATCAAATTTTGGCTCATACCCATACTTCCCCCACAGAGATGACCAAAATACTTCTTCGCTGTCTCTGTGGGGGAGTATGGGTATGGGCCAAAAATGACTTTAAAGATTTTTGAATAAGTTTTGATGAAAATATCAGCAATGCATAATGCCCGTATAAAATATAAAGTCTTCAAGAAATTTCGTCCATTGATTTAGCTATGAGCCGAAAAGAGTTAACTCTTTTTTTAATGTAACTTTATAAATAATTATTTTGATATATTCTTACGAAGAAAAAAAAACAAGACAGTCAATTACAAAATTCAAAATGAGTTATAATATGATCTAACACATTTCGTTTCCATAGTTGTTCAAGTTTTTGAAGAATCATAAGTGCATTAATGATTTGATGGTTTCAAAATATGTCAAACAGAGGATTAAAATATAATAATCAAAGATCTACATGATCTGAAGTCCATAGTAACAATGGAAATTCAATTAAAAAATCGGTACATATTGTTAGCACCATCGAAAAAAGTCTAACTTTTGAATTATAGTCGAAGAGTTTTACGAATAAAAACTTACTACGTATAGTTTCCTATTTCAAATAGAAAAAAAAAATTTTATTCAGCTTGATTAGTTGTGGATTATAACCATTTATTTAAGTGATCGTGTCATTTAGAACACTCTAGATAATAAGGCAACATGAATAATTATCGCATTATATTCCTAGGATTAGTTAAAGACGATCTGACTGATTTTCAGTATCATTAAACTGTGCATTCACATATAATCGATAAAGTTTGAATTTGTACAATTATAATATTTGTTTTATCTCCTTAAGGATGATACAATTAAACTAACTGGCGTAACAAGTGTTCGTTCTATACTTCGAAATACATTTTCTGGTCAATATAAACCAATTCCAGGTATGTCTGAACGTTATCGTCATTATGAATTATATTATAATGCAACATTTCATTATTTAACTGCATCACCTGATCAATTATATCCATTTTTACATGAATTTATTCAACGTGAACAATTCCCATTAGGTTCTTATCATATGCGACATTTTACATGGTGTAATATAAATTTTTTTGAATTTTTTTCATCAAATTCATTTATAAAACAAAAAACAAAAATTTTACATATGTTTTTTCAAGAAACACGTTCAAGAAAATTTATTTTATTTGGAGATATATTTCAAAAAGATCCAGAAATTTATGCAAATATTTATCAACAATATCCAGAAAGAATTTTAAAAATTTTTATACGTGTATCAAGCAAAAATGTTTCAAATCGTTTAAATAGGGTTTTTCAACATATACCAAAATATAAATGGGATATATTTCTTAATGGTTTTGATTTACCAGAAAAAATTTTTTAAATAAAGTTTTTTTTTTCATGTTATGAAATGATTGAAAAATAAAAATAAAAATTAATAACTATAATCAATATTTTTACAGATTAGATTACTAATATTAACGACAGAAATGGAATTAATGATGATGATGATGATGATCGCGATTCGATCTGATAAAAGTTTTTGACTAATTGGTCGAAATTCGTCTTAGATGTGTGACAGTTTCAAATCAGGTAATTTAACTGGTTTCGATCATCCAATTCTTTTGACAAGAACTGAAATGCATGACCAGTTCATCTGAATAATCAAAAATTATTGACATGAAGTATAAAAGTCAATTGGTTTATGTAACTATCTGAACATTTGATTGTATTGGAATATGCTCTAAAGAAGTGCTTCCTCGTCGACATCATCTCATTTAAGTAGAAAGATGATTGAGTTATACGTTGGAGCACCGAAGATGAAACTGCTTACCAGTCAACTCACGAATTGATAATATCTCATATCGATAAAGAAAGATAATAGGTTCGAACTCTCCTATATTTTTATTACTAATGAAAATATTAAGTAAAATAATCTTCGATATAGCTGCATTGATAGTCTCTGCGAGCAAATATAACTATCGAATATAGTATAAGTATCACACCATTCGATCAAATTGTGAATTGATACTTTCATATGATCGATGTGTTCGAAGCCATCCTACTTCTTCTATTGATGTAAGGTTTCATAATGCTATAGATATTGAGGAATAAGTCACACCTATAAAGATGAAAGATTTTTTATAAAAACGAAATTATTTTCAAGTAATATAATCGATACTGTTTAAGCCATTGTATAACCACTTAGTATACATTTTTCTTACTATTTGTAGATGACAAATTTAATTTTGAATACATCAACTATCTTAATTTCGTTTAATTTTAAGACCATTTTGACTACTGAGAAATTCCAGTATTTGATATTTGGCTAGTTGACGTACAAGTTATTGCTGATATACAAATTAAGAGAATATTATTGATGATTTCATTAACAGAAATGTCGCTAATATTTTTAATAGTTTTAAGAATATTTTCTTAAACATATTATTCAATTCATAGATTCGATATACGTTGAACGACGTATCTCTCTCTAAAAGATTCAACAGTTTATAATTGATCTGTGATGAGATATTTGCAAAATGCCCAATGCTGCAATTATTTTAAGATATTCTAAAAAATTATATAAGAATCATACAGTATGGTTCTATTAGAAATACTGTTTTTGAGATTGACATATGTATGAAATTGTACAAGATCTTATCAATGGATTGTTGGATATGGCTTTAGCTATCAGAAAGATGACTTGAAATTTTATTAAAAGAAAAGTGAAACAAATCAGTTTGAAGCTGTAGTCACTGGCATCATTGTAAAGAACAAACAGTGTGCTTAATAATCCATCGGAATTATTTAATCTTAGATTTTTACATCGTTGAGCACTAAAATCCTGCACAAATATATGTAATTATGCAATGCTGCCACGGCAAAAAAAAAACAAGCTACTGTTGTCGCGCTGCTGTTATGTTATTATGAAAACATCATCTACGTCGCTGCCGCACTGCATTGGTTGTTTGAAAAATCTACCGCTGCCATAGAATCGCATCATGGCTGAATAACATTTGAAGTTGATATTTTTAGTATCATTTAATTCCTTTTGTAGAAAGAAAATTAAATTTTGTTTTTTTATTTATCAGTGAAACGACTATAAATAATAACACTTATTTTCTCTATTTATCCTTGATAATTTCTCATCCAATTTTCTATCAACCAGACGTACAAGTGATTCTTTTTTCGTTCTGTGTTTTGCCTCTCTTCGTTTCGCTTGTTGAAACAAATAAACCATATTCCTTCGAAGGTATAGAGAAAGAAGCTGTTCAAATGAAGACCCTGGCGTTTTTTTTCTTTCTTATTCTGTTGATCAAGTGCCCTCTATTATGATTGCATGTTGTGCCTGGCTAGTCATCCATAAGTAAGAAAAATATATATATATTTGCGGACAAAAAAAAAATAGTTGCCTGGATTTTTTTTTGCGTTCTATATTTTACCTCATTTGGTTTTGTTCATGCACCTAGATATTTCAGATTTTTTTCAGGAGTATGCATAATAAGCTGTTGAAATAAAAAATCTAGGGCTTTTTTCTGATCTTTCTCATAGCACATCTGATATCAATTGTTTGCTGTCTCGAATGACTCACTTGAAGCTATAAAACAATGAATATCAGAGAAAAAGAGCGAAATATTGTCAGTCAAGTGTATTCGATAGACGAAAGCTCATTTTCATTTCGTAGATTGTTCTTTCGTTGGTGATCGAATATATATTTATATTTTTTTTGACTATTGTATTAGTTAAATACTATCCAATAATGACATCCTTTCTATTAACTACTTTGGATGTCATTAATTCTTGGACATTAAGTATGTGGTTATCAATAATCGTCTGTGGTCTTATAGTTGCCTATATACATGAACAATTTGTTTATATGTCTAAACGTGGTACCCTTCCTGGACCAAAATTAACTGTTCCATTCATTGGTGGTATTATTCATATGATTCTAGCACCCTATGATTTTTGGCATGGTCAAATGGAATATGGTAAATTAAGTTGGAATGCAATTATTGGCCGTTTTTTTGTCTTGATAGCTGATAGTGAAAATAGTCGAAAAATTTTTGAACAATGCTCATCTGAAATGCCATTAATATTACATCCAAATGCAACTCGTTTATTAGGAAATGATAATATTGCATTTATGAATGGTTCAATTCATAAAACACTACGTACAACATTATTACCTTTATTTACAACAAAAGCTCTTTCAATTTATTTACATTTACAAGAAAAAACTATTCGAGAACATATGATTAAATGGTGTGAAATAAGTAAAAATTCGAAAAATGGTATAGAAATGCGACCATTAATTTATGATTTAAATATAAATACAAGTTTATCAGTCTTTGTTGGTTCTTATATAACAGATGAAATTCGTGAACAATTCAAAAAAGATTATATAAATTTAACTCGTGCAATGTTTTCATCACCTATTTATTTTCCAGGAACACAACTTTATAAAGGTGTTCGTGCTGCTGAATCTATTCGTCGATCTTTACAATCTATTGTTACTAAAAGTAAACAAAGAATGTCTATGGAAGGAGAAGAACCTACATGTTTAATAGATTTTTGGATAGTTTCAACACTTAAAGCGATAAATGACGCTCAAAAAAATAATCAACCTAGACCTCTACATAGTACTGATGAAGAAATAGCTAAAATTGCATTAGATTTTATATTTGCTGCACAAGATGCATCAACTAGTTCATTAACATTTGCTATTCATGAACTTTGTAAACATCCTGATATATTTGAGAAAGTTCGTCAGGAACAAAAAATTCTTCGTTCTGATCCATTAGTTCCAATTACACCTGAATTATTAATACAAATGAAATATACATGGCAAGTAATGAAAGAACTTTTACGATTACGTCCACCAGCTACAATAGTTCTTCATATTGCAAAAAAAACCAATAAAAATTTCAGAAGATTATACAGCACCAACTGGAACTATTGTTATTCCAAGTATTTGGAGTTCAAATCGTGTAGGTTTTTCTGATCCTGAAAAATTTGATCCCGAACGATTTAATTCTGAAAGAATGGAACAAACAAAATTTGATAGAAATTTTTTAACATTTGGTACTGGACCACATTCATGTCTTGGACAACGTTATGCTATGAATCATATTATGTTATTTATATCTCTTTTAATAGATATGGATTTTGAACGTGCTAATCGGCCTAATAAAGATAAAATTATGTATCTACCAACAATTTATCCGGCTGATGGATGTGTACTTAATTATATGAAACATCATCAATAAATAGAAAATTTAATATTTAGCGATTTTTTAATCTTTTATTTTCTTTTAGCTTCAATTTTTTTTCAATAAATAAATGACATACTTAAGATTAATGTTTGTTTGTAAAATACTTTATCTAAGTTTTTCTACTGATATATATATATATATATATATTTCATAACATTTGTGTGAAGATCAATTTGAGTAGAGAATGATTTTCATAGTTTGAATTTTGTATCAATATACCGATTCATACACTACTATTTAAGAACGTAGCCAATTTATGAATAAAAATTTCTCCGTGTGTGCAATTCATCGAAAATTATAATTTATTATTTTTTTCTTGAATCTAAAATTACTTCCAACTAGTAATTATTCAAAAAAAAAACAAAGCTATTTCAACATAATTCTACGCTCTAATTTAATATATAATATTTAACTTTGATAAACAATATTTTATACTAATAATTACTATCGACGCCAAAATATAATGCACCACGATATTTTTTAATTATCTCGAGAATGAAAACAGTTAGAAGTCTGCGATTTTCACCATTCGAAAGAGAAATATGGGAGAAATAAAACTCTCCTGAATTAGCCTGACAAAAGGATATGGTCAAGCTGGTCAGTTTTAGATGTAGATTTTGACCACAAGTTTTTAAGGTCAACCCTTCTAGTTTATCCCGTTCAAGAGCTATAAGCGTTCTACTGGAAGTCTGAAAATCGACTAACTGATCACTGACCGATCTGTAATGTATTGAGTATGGGGTAGTCAACTATGCTGAGTCAACCGATGATGTTTATCCGTACTTTCAAGGCGATTGAAAGTTGCTAGATTACGATTTTTGTAATTCATGTAGATTATTGCGACATTCAAATTATTTTTTTTCTATGCCCTTCAGTTTATATCAAAGATATTGATAAGATATGAGTTGAATCTTTTGTTTTATTCACAATCCATCAAAACATTTTTTTTTATCATGTGATAAGTTTTTTGAACTAAAAATTGCAGAAACTTTTTCGTTTTTTTTTCTGTGAAACTTGCGTGTAGTTATTTGTTAATAGAAATTCTAAACTATGTTTATTTTTAATAAGATTTCATACATATCTCGAGAAATCAACGATAATAAAGTCAGTCTAA